TTTTTTAAAATAAAAATTTATTTGAAACCCTTACAATCGAAGAACCGCTAATAAATTCAAACCAAAATCAAAATGAAAGCCAAATCCAAACCCTAATCAATGAACCCCCACAGGGATGTAAAACTCTAAAAATAAAGTAAAACCACTAGATTTTTTGTTTGAAGTTGCAGTGACGAAGAGGTGGCGGAGAAGAGATGGTTTTGGGTTGCTTTGATGCCTAGAGAAGTAGGAAGAATGGAGGGAGGGATGTAATTATATATCGTAGAGAGAGATTGAGGGAAGAACGTTGTAAACACTGTGAAATGCACCGGTTGTAGTTGGAACGGAATAAGGGAGAGGGAGGCCGATGGTTCTCATAGCAGATGGAAAGGGGCGGAGGAGAGGAGTTGGTAGTAGAATTATGGCAGGTGAAGATGGTGGTGGGATGGTGGGGATGACTGATAGCATTACGTACGAGCTTTTGGCCGACGGACTATCAACAACGGATCAACGACGGAATATGTTAGATTAATCTCGTTGTAAGCATTTAAATAGTATATATATATATATATATAGGTAGGTAGGTATTAGGAAGTTATTGGTAGTTATCCACGAAGAGGTGCGACTATTCACGAAAGGGTGTGATGGTTCGATGGCACCTTTTCGGTGTCTATAAATATGTAAATTCTACACACTTTTCATAGTGTGAATTCTCAGATTATCAAATAAACTTTGGTTGTTTTAGCATATCGATCCAACATTTGGTATCAGAGCTTTGGGTTCGTTCAACCAAAGTCTTCTCATCATCTACCATATACGATTAGGAATCAAGAGAGTCACCAAAACGTCGGAGATTAACGATTAACCACCATCACAGTTGTTCATTTGGGGTTAATCAAAATCTCAAGGATACCTAGGGCGGCCAAACACCAGAAGAAGTTTTACCACCGACTGGCACCCAACGGAAAAGGTATTTACATACCTTAATCGGAACCGGAGAAGACAACCGGAGATTCAAATCGGTCAGAAAGACCATCGATCCAAGGCCCAAGAGCAGAAGGCATCGAGTCGTAGGAACTAAATAGGTCAGAACGACGATCATCGCAGGCAGAAAACGCAGCAAGCGTTGCCAACAAGAACAATCGATCAAGGCAGAAAACGCAGCAAGCGTTGCCAACAAGAACAATCGGTAGGAAACCGATTTTTGTTCAATCGATCTAGGGCACAAAAACGCAGTAAGCGTCGCCATCCAGAACAACGATAGGAGATCGTTTGTTCAATCGATCGTCAGGCACGAACGCAGGAAGCATCGAGCCTTAAGAACAATCAATAGAAGATCAATTGTTCAAGCAAAATCGAACCAAAAATCAAGTCGAAGAAGGAAACCGCAAAGGAACCGTCGTTCGAAAGGAACCAGAAGGGTTTCAAGTTCTTTACAAAGGAAACAACACACACAAAAGGTGTACGCCTCCTCTTTTCTTTACTTTCCCTTTTTCCAAAAAAAAGAAAACCTAATTCCCATTTTTAGGAAACTGACGTTTCCTTTGATTTTAAACATTTTCTTTACAAATTTCTTTAAAAAAAATACTTCCTTTATTATTTTTATTGTCATTTAAAAAGAAAATTTTACTCAATTTTGTAAAGTTTTATATAAAATTTTATAAAGGAATATTTGCAAAGTTTGTAAATAAAATCCTTAAGGAATATTTTTTTTATATACGAAATTATGACGGAAAAAGAAAATAAGGAACAGGGAGAAAATTTCAAAATTTGCAAAGAAATAAGTCCTAGTACCCATTTTCAGTGTCCAATGTTGAATTCAACAAATTACATAACTTGGGCAATTCAAATGCAAATTATATTGGAAGCAAATAGCCTTTGGGAAGCAATTGAACCACAATCATCAACAAAACCCGATGAGAAAAAGGATAAGACCGTTATCGCGTATCTCTATCAATCGCTACCAGAAGATCAACTGTTTCTCATCTCAAAATACAAAACTACAAAGGCAGTTTGGGATGCACTGAAAACAAGACACGTTGGTGTCAGCAGTGTCCAAAAGGCAAGATTACAAACTCTCAAGACGGAATTTGAGATGTTACAGATGAAAGAAAATGAATCAATTGATTCATTCACTTCAAAATTAACGGGTATTATGAATAAAGCAGCAAGCTTGGGACAGACATAGGAAGATTCCACTCTCGTACGGAAGTTACTGAATGTCGTACCCGACCGGTTTCTCCATATTGTCGCGTCCATTGAACAATACTCGGACCTAGATGCTATGTCTCTAGACTAAGCAATCGGGAGACTGAAGACTTTTGAAGAAAGATTAAAATTCAAGAAGGAAAGAAGCGTGGACACTCAAGAAGGATTGATGTTCACTCGACATGAACATCGAGGCCAACCTTTCAGAGGACGTGGTCATGGCAGATTTAATCAATCACGAGGCCGATGATATAACAAATTCATATAAGAAAGGAAGAACTGGGAACCCTCACAAAATAGTTTCAAGAAAGAAACTATCAGCAATACGAAGAAGTTTACTCCTGATAAGAGTAAAGTACAGTGCTTCAAGTGCAAGAAGCATGGACATTATGCAACAAGATGTCCAGAAAAGGATCAAGAACCGGAACACTCTAATCTCATTGAAGAAGACTTAGAACCGACACTACTCATGGCGACTATTGAAGAACATCAGAAAGTTCTCTTGAATGAAAGGAATCCCGAAGTTAGCAAGATAACTTCAAGTGGCAAAAGCCTATGGTACTTAGACAATGGAACAAGTAACCATATGACTGGAGTCAAAGATCATTTCAACGAGATTGACGAGAAGATTACCGGGAACGTAAGATTCAGAGATAGATCGTACGTAGAGATCAAAGGAAAAGGTTCCATACTGTTGGAATGCAAAAATAAAGAACAACGGGTTGTGTCACATGTATATTATATTCCAAGTATTAAGAGTAATATACTAAGCCTTGGTCAACTGACAGAGAATGGTTGCAAAGTAGTCATGGAAGAGGATCTGTTACTACTATATGATTCAAGCAACAACATTTTACTACGGGTCATACGATCAAAGAACCGACTATATAAGGCAAGTCTCAGAATTGGCAAACCCATCTGTTTGTTAGCCAACCTACATGACAAARCATGGTTATGGCATGCAAGACTGGGCCATCTGAACTTTGGTTCAATGAAGAAAATGGTTTCAAAAAAATTAGTTTATGGAGTAACCTGCACTAAGTATACAGCAGACATTTGCGATATATGCTTAAAAGGAAAACACAGCAGAACTCCGTTTCCACAACATACGAATTTAAAGTCAGAGGCACCATTGAATTTAGTGTTTGGAGATTTGTGTGGTCCAATATCGCCACTTACACCAACCGGCAAAAGGTACATATTCCTACTAATTGATGACTACTCAAGATATATGTGGGAATACTTTTTAGACTCAAAGGATCAGGCTTTTGGGATTTTCAAAGAATTTAAACCAAAAGTGGAAAACGAACTTGGACTCGAGTTGAAGATGTTCAGAATAGACAGAGGAGGGGAATTCACTTCAAATGAATTCCTGCAATACTGCAAAGATAATGGCATCTCAAGGCAATTGACTGCACCATACTCACCTCAACAAAACGGAGTAGTTGAATGAAAGAATAGGACAATTCTTTCAGTAACAAGATGCATGATGAAAGCAACGAACTTGCCACAGAACTTTTGGGCAGAAGCAGTTAGACATGMCATACTAATATTAAATTGCACGCCAACAAAGTCAATTGATGACATTACTCCATACGAAGCATTGAAAGGAAGGAAGCCAAGTCTACATCATCTAAGGATTTTTGGCTGCATCGCATATGCAAAGGTACCTTCACAACACTTGACTAAATTAGATGATAGAAGTATACAAATGGTATACTTAGGCAGTGAGCCAGGATCAAAAGCATATCGCTTATTTGATCCAATAAAGAATAGAATTTGCGTCAGTAGGGACGTAAAATTCAAAAAAGATGAGACATGGAATTGGGAGGACTTTACTAAAGATTTTGACCTAGACAAACCGGGATGGACTGATTTCATTATAGGGAATAATAAAACACCTGGTACTCAGTATATCTCGAATGTAAGTGAAGATATCGAGAATAATGTTACACATGGTAACAATGATTCAGATGAAGAAGAACCTACTACATCCAATTCCCAAACATCCACTCATGAATATAGCCCACATCAATCCACCATCCGCTCACTAGTTTCAAAAACCGATACACCTTCTACAACCGATTCAAGAATTGATCATACACCTGTAAGAGGTTATAGGCTCTTAAGTGATATATATGCCAGGACGGAGGAGTTATTACTAGTAGAAGAAGAACCAAGAAACTTCAAGGAAGCGGCTAAATACGACAAATGGATCGAAGCTATGAAAGCAGAAATTGATTCTATCAACAAGAACAATACCTGGATGCTAACTACCCTACYAAAGGATCATAAGGCAATTGGTCTGAAATGGGTATTCAAGACAAAGAGGGATGATGAAGGAAGAATATTAAAGCATAAGGCACAACTAATGGCCAAAGGATATATTCAAGAACATGGCAAAGACTTTGATGAAGTCTTTGCACCAGTAGCACGAATTGAGACAATACGATTGATATTGGCTCTAGCAGCATACAACAAATGGGAAGTACATCACCTGGATGTAAAATCAGCATTCTACAAGGAAAACTAAAGGAAGAAGTTTATGTCTCACAACCTGAAGGATTTATAGAAGGAGACAAAGGAAAAGTCTACAGGCTCATGAAAGCACTTTATGGTTAAGACAAGCTCCACGAGCATGGTACACCAAGTTAGATAACACTTTGAAGACACTTGGATTCAAGATATGTGCTTTGGAGCAAGCAGTCTATACAAGAATAAGTAAAACATCAACACTATTGATTGGAGTATATGTTGATGACTTAATAGTTACTGGATCATCAAAGAAGGAGATTGAAGCCTTCAAAGATCAGATGAAAGAGAAGTTTGAAATGAGTGATCTTGGATTACTTGCTTATTACCTTAGCATTGAGGTTACACAGAACGGGGGTGAAATCTCAATAAAGCAAACTGGCTACGCAAACAAGATACTCAGTGACACAGGGATGTTAGACTGCAATGAAGAAAAAATACCTATGGAACCAGGTCTCAAACTCACAAAAGTAACCAAAGCAAGATCCGTAGACGCCACCAAATATCGAAGCCTGATTGGATGTCTACGATACTTACTACATACAAGACCTGATCTAAGTTTTCCAGTTGGATTACTTAGTCGTTTCATGCAAGACCCACAGGAGCAGCATATGAAAACAATCAAACAAGTGTTGCGTTATATCAAAGAAACTAAGGACTATGGTATAACTTATGGGCATGAAGGAGGAAACAAGATACAAGGATACAACGACATCAGTTACGGTGTTAACACACAAGAAGGTAAAGGCACAACTGGTATAATTTTTTACTTTGGAAATTCACCTATCAATTGGAGTACTCAGAAACAAGGAACAGTAGCTTTATCTTCATGTGAATCAGAGTTTATTGCGGCAACAGCAGCATCAACACAAGCTCTCTAGTTAAAGAGACTACTCAGCAAAATTACTGATACTAAGGAAGAAAAGGTTACTATCTATGTGGATAACAAGTTAGCAATAGCACTAATGAAGAATCCAATATTTCATGGACCAAGCAAACACATTGATACAAAGTATCACTTCATACGAGAATGCATGGAGAAAGAAGATTTGACAGTTGAACACATCACTGGAGAACTACAACGAGCTGACATTCTGACAAAGCCACTACCAAGAATAAGGTTCATCACTATGAGGCAACTACTTGGAGTTAAAAATCTTATTCAACACAATCGAGATTAAGGGGGTGAATGTTAGATTAATCTCGTTGTAAGCATTTAAATAGTATATGTATATATAGGTAGTTATTAGGAAGTTATTGGTAGTTATCCACGAAGAGGTGCGACTATTCACGAAAGAGTGTGATGGTTCGATGGCACCTTTTCGGTGTCTATAAATATGTAAATTCTACACACTTTTCATAGTGTGAATTCTCAGATTATTAAATAAACTTTGGTTGTTTTAGCATATCGATCCAACAGAATAAGACTTCAGCGACATATTTTTTCGTCAATGATACTCGTCATTTTTGTAGTGCGTTGATGGCATCCGTAGGTGAAGAAGAAGTGGATTTCCCTGCATCATGCTTGATGATTGGAGAAGATGGTCGTTATGTGTTGGACGAGGATGAAAAGGTTTTAGGTAGTGACGACTCTTGAATGAGGAAGAAGATCACCCTCTTGAATGTGTTCTTGTAATTAGAAATATGAAAAAGTACCAAAACCAAAAAATTTGCCATAAACAAGAGAACAAAACTAAAAAAGTGGACTTAGATAAGAGACCAAAAATATAGTTCACTCAAAGAAATTTAAGAAATAGAGATTTTAGAGTGAATTACATTTTCAGTCCCTTGTCTAGAAAGACCAAAATGCCCCTCATGTGAAGAGCAGGCACACATAACGATCACAAATCTAATGACATTAATCGGGGGATTAATTTGGACTCAAAACACGAAAAATGAACCAAAAATATATTTTACGAATTAATTTGAGGGAAGGAAAAAAAAAACCATAAACAAGAGATAAAAAGATGTAATTCACTCTTTTCTCATTTTATCAAATTTATCAAGTCTTCAATCCTATATTATATTCAATATATTTCGTAAAAAAAAAAGATTTATGACAACTAACATTTGTCAAATCTCTTGTATCAATATTTCAATTTCATATTAAAGGGTCGTTCGGCTAACGGTATGTGAGTCTTTGATCTTTTAGGAGATCAGAGATTCAAACTTCACTAAAAGTGAAAAAGATGTATGAGTTTATTTATTCTATTTACCTATATAAATAATAGATATATACTTAAAAATTTATATTTCAATTTCATTTGACATATAGGCTACCTTTGGATTAAGTTTTGGGCTATGCTGTTCATATGTATATATACGATATTGTATAATATAATTATATTATATTAATAATTTTTTATTTGTGAAAGAAAAATAAGAGAAAATTGAAAAAAAGATTATAATGCCCTTTGCTTAACATGTTTTTCATCGCGTTTGGAGGAAGAGATTAGATTCGAGTGCTTCTATAAACTATGATAATCAACTTGTAGTTTTAAAATTGTAGAAACGAAAACCGTTACAATCGACAACAGACAAACCATAGGATCCAAAATTGTAGTTTACTCAACTGTTTAATTTGTAGTTTAATCTTTTATTCATATTCAATTTTCAAGTTTTTATGCATAATACTTTTTCACATATTCATCATGTTTTTTGAACACATTTATTTTTATAATTATTTATATGATTTATTTATGTATTACTAAAACTAAGTTTATACTTTAAATAAATTATTTTAATTAATATAAAAAATGTATGTCCAAGCAATTCATTGATTAGTATTAGTTTAAATAGTTTTGTTGTGGTTACATAATTTCTAATTTCAAGTATTTAGCCCAAGCATAAAACATTCTCAAATATCAATAGCATCAAGATATTCCAATATAATCTACCATAGCAACACTAGAAAGAACCAACGTTAGCAAAACCTAAGTCCTCTTGATTTAACATAGACGATTACAAGCAACACGAGCTTACATACGAGAAAACCCATTAAAAGAGGAAATTAATTGCATATAGTTATGCAACCAAAGATTCTTTTTTGAGTTTGCAGATGAGTTTCACAGGTTTTTCCTTCTGCAAAGTTACACCGAATTTGTCATCCATATCAAGCTTCGAAGGATCGTCATCATCCGGAAGGACCCACTCCAACCCATGAACTAACGATGCTAATAAAAGTTCAACACTCCTAAGACCTAAGGACAAACCAGGACACATTCTTCTCCCTGCACCAAATGGTGTGAACTCGAAATTGTGGCCTCTAAAATCCACCTTTGAGCCAAGGAATCTTTCAGGTCTGAATGATAGAGGGTCATCCCATATTTTAGGGTCACGACTTATTGCCCAAATGTTGACAAATATTTCAGCACCCTTTGGAATGGTATAACCCATAACCTCACAAGTTTCTTGAGCCTGATGAGGAAGTAGGAAAGGGGTGGTTGGATGTAATCTTAGGGTTTCTTTGATACAAGCTTGTAGATAAGGTAACTCTGAGAGTTGAGATTCAGTAATTTTGTCAGAGTTGATTTCTTTCTTCACTTCTCTTTCTAATTTAGACAAGGCCTCTTTGTTTCTTAGCAACTCGGCTATAGCCCATCCCACGGTCGAAGTTGTCGTATCGGTACCTCCAATGAATAATTCCTGGAAGTTCAAAAGAGAGTTGGTTTAAAACCATACTGATTATAAACAAAAAGTTAGCAAATTGAAGATTAAAAGAATGACTCGATTACATAAAATAGAATCTATTTTTCGATTAAATATCGGTTTATCAGCAGTGCAAAGAAGTACATACTAGAGCCAACTGATTGATCTGGTTGTCTGAAACTCCTTCTTCAAGCAATCGATCCAATAAAGATTTTGTCTGCTTGGAGGTCCATGCAGAAGAACCCATTTGCGATCTTGTTTCCTTTATTATTTCTTTCCAAAAACTAAACACCCTTTTGATGTTTTTGTGGCTTCCCTTCCTTATTCCTTGAAGATCCAATATCCGGAACATGGGGAAAAAATTACTGAAATCAGGTTTACCTCCATATTCCATTACCTTTTCGATTGAATCTTTCAATCCACCACGAGTGTGATGTTCATCTTTCAAATCAAGCAAATCTTTGGAAAATATTATGCAACTCAAAATGTTAAACGAAGTCGTGAAAACAACTTCCGCGATATTAAGCACTTCTCCTTCTTTACTGCGCAAGAAATCCAACATGTAACTTACCTTCTCCTCTCGTACCCTGGAGTGGATTTCAATGGCTTTAACGGAAAATATTTCAGTGCGACAAATGGCTCTTAAAGTTCTCCAAGTTTGATTGCAGTCAGACCATACGAGGGTATAGGGTAATATTGAACTTTGTCGATACGCACTAGGCACCAAACGAGCAGAAAAAATACGATCATGAGTTTTGAGAATTTCCATAGCCGCCTCCGGAGAAGAGGCAACCACAAGAAGTTGGCTTCCGAGATGGAGAGATATGAGAGGGCCATATTCGTTGGCCAAGTTCGTGATGGAAATATGAGGTTTTTCTCCGATCTGATGCAAGTTTCCGATGATAGACCATGTCGGAGGAGTTGGTGGGAGGTTTTTCAGGTTTTTGGAAAATGTAAATTTGACGAGTAGAAGGAAGAAGACTGTCAAGAGTAGGAAGAGTTGGGGTAGCATATCGTTTTCTCTTGGAAAAGCCATGATATCCATCGTATCGTCTGCGACTGATTTGATTATATATATATATACACACACGTGTGTGTATATATATATATCTATACTACATATATAAGCATTTAAGACAAAGTCTTAAATACAAGTTCCTAAGCATAAGTTACAATAATTTTATGCAACAAATTCAAAAAACTYTTAAAGACAAGTTACAAAGCACTATGTACAACCATTTTATGCATGAAGTTCAAAAAATCTATGACAGTACAACCACCAACACCACCAAAGTTGAAACTTTCAGTTTCACTTTTTTAGTTGAAGTTTTTTATCCTCTCTTTCCAGCTTTCTTCCACCCATTTAGTAACTTCAAACCATTCTT